CGTATATTTGCGACCACAGACCAGTCTGGGGAAAACGACCCACGACGAAATCAATAACCACGGCTATTTTCTCAGTTCAATCACAATTACCTATTATAATGCACACCGTTCGAGAAGCAGGCATGATGCCCTAATCTTTACATTTCGGAAGACACATATGATTACAAAAGTTTCCGCAGTTGAAAGACAAGTGATGGAGACGCGTCAAAGATGGAGAAAACCTTGGGATGCTGTGCAGCAACCGAAACCAGGTTTGAATCCATTTGGAAAACGTTGGCTTACGTCAGCGGACGCTTGATCTGGCCACAAATATCACGTAGCGGCATATCCAAGAGACCAAGGTTTCCAAACCAACCAAGACCAAGGCAGTTCAAATCAGCGTTAAATAGATAACAAATTCCATTTGTCAAAGTATTGTGGGAAGATACTGCATAAGATAACTGACCCGCTGGTAGTAATAGGCCACCGCATGCGCTGATGGCAGTTTGCACGGTCTTTTGGACAGGAGGTCGGCCACTTTTCCACTGTAGCTCTTTGGAAATAATTTTATTATCTGAAGCTGTGTCGAGTTGTAGTCGCAATGGATGGTTATTTAATTGGACAGTGATATATTTTCTTCGTACTGATGCATGTGCCTGAAAAGCTGCAGTACGACTGAGAGATTTGCCAACTGGTTGGGACTTCAATCTATGACTGTGACTAGATCGTGGCCTACTTGTTCGTTGTGATGGGTGCTGTCAGCGAAATTCGTCCTTGAGACCAGCAATATTGCAATCTCCGCATTTATTCTGCTTAAAAGGACAAGATCTGACGAAATGCCATGCACTACAATGCCAGCAGAAGGACAGGGGTGCCTTCTTCGTCTTTCTTTTGGTGTTGTATCAGCCGTTGGCATGATGAAATTGAGACGAAGAACTAGGAGTTTATCCGCCAGAAAAGGATGCAGACTAATCAGATATCTCCCGAAAGGCATGCGCATCGTCCCGATTGGACTAAACTTGTACTCCGTTGCAGGTTGGCCAATAGTTAATGTTCAGAAGAGATATCATTTAACGTTAGTGCTGGAGATTTTCCCGGCCAGAGCGGGTTGCTTTTTGACGAAATCTCAGCTAGGATGCAGAATGTCCGTTTGGTATCCACCAACTTGCATCATCTGTGGAATAAATCGGTGAGATATCCGACTACATATCAAAGGACGAGTATACTGTGTTACAGTCCGTTCTGTCCTGTTATACGGCTGAGACATGGTCAGCAAAATTAAAAGACATGAAGTGATTACAGGGTTTTAACCACAAGTGTCTTCATAGCATTCCTCGCGTTTGGTGGAATCATCTTGTGAGCAATGTTGAAGTCAGAAGAAGAGTATCAAACAAGACAGGCGAGTCGATAGATCAGGTTGTGAGCCTTAGTCGATTGACATGGGCTGAAAATGTACTGCGTACACCAGGCCATCACCTTCCTCAACGTGTCATGCTAGGGGAAGCTGGACAAGGTTGCAAGATGGCTCATGGTGGCCACACTAAGACCTGGAACCAGTCGGTGACGTCTCTCACCGTTGGTCTGAGTCGTATCGAGCTATGTACACTGCTTGGCTGAGGCCCTTGGGAATAAACGGATCGGTGATCAGTGGTTGAGAACTCCTGGTGACATGGCCGAAAATCGATCACAGTGGCGCAGATGTATTCACTCTCTGATTTCTTCTAAAGCTTGAATATTTGCATTAACCCCTATCTTCAGATTGCTTATTCTCTCACACAGCTTTGTCCAGTTTGATATCATTCTTGTTCTATCCACCTGTTACTTGTACACTACTTTGAAGTGTAACAACTTGAAACGATGCACTTGTGGCTAAGGTTCCACGTTGATTTTGTCTGTCTTGTCATCGTCTTCACCTGCTTACTCTAAATCCACTAGTGTCTTCTGTGACACGGAAGCCCCCACCAGTAGGCCTGGTGAAGTTGAATGAGAATGGAAAGAATGGACATCCTTGAGAGACACCACTTGACGTACACAACTCACCTGATAACTCGCCATGAGCTCTAACGCGCTCACGGGTGTTCGAGTAGATAGTGTTTCACAAATTGAAGCACCTACTTGGCGCCCGTTTTAGCAAGAGACACTGACAGGAGATCTGTTGATCGACGGAGCCGAATGCTACTTAGAGGTCAAGAAATACATCTAGTCCTGTGCGTCGATAAGTTAATAAATTATTGGTTATCGAGGGGCTTCACAAATTGTTTCATTAATCACATAATCTAATGAAGAAAGCCCTCAATGGATTTCACAGAATCCATCTACACTGAATTTATTATTGTAAGTGTGAAATTTGAAAATCGACTACACTTAGTATGGAGGTTGTTGGTATTTACCACTGAGAAAGAGATTCTGAGGAACTATCGGTTTCTCAATCAATGAGATTTGACTTCAAGCATGAGTTCCTGAAAGTGTCATCCCAATGAAATATTATGAAGCAGAACAAGAACTGTCGACAACAAATGAAAGTTCTTGAAGGACAAAGTAAGTAACTATTTATTGTCAACTGGGAATTGCTGCATCTAGAATTAATATGAGAACTAGAAGGTTTCACTTCCCCGTCTAAGCGACATTTAAATATGGATGCATTTACAAGACCAATAACAAACAACTTCCTGAAAACAGTGGTTGGATATACCGCAACCTGGAATTGAATTTGAAATTTAAGCACACAATGAAATTATGAGTAAACACACTTTTATAAGTGCAACAGCTATTTGTAGTAAGGCTTATTGCCGCAACAAAAATGATTTGAGTGCTTGCATTATTCCTTAGAAATGCAACCTTGCAACTACATAATAGTTCATGTACTAGGCTATGAGTAACAACCGTATCGACGGCATAAATCATGTTGCCTGAATGACAAATACTGGTAAATACCGTGGACAGGTTTTTAGTTACTGACTGCTTAAAATTCAGTTGAATGATTCAATAAACCACAATTTCACTTGATGACACTCAACACTGCGGTTAACTCCAAGCCATCGGTATACAAAATGACCATCTAGTGATTACCGCAAAGCAATAGTAGTTGTCACAGCTCGGAAATACCTATATGATTCCACGACAATATATTTGCACATACATCTATAAACACATATATTTACATTACACCATTACATGTTTTTATGTTATCATTAACTCATGTAATTTTAGTGTGCGTGCCATGAAAACAAGAAGGTCAGCCCAAAAATCTCCCACAAACCTTGTTACACGCATGTGCGATCGTAGTGAGTTTAGGCTCAACAGCATACGAATTTCTCCGCACTAGTGAGCAGCACTTAGACATTCGGCAGCTCATGGGCTTGAGGTTTGATCCAGCTAACTAGGGAAAGCTTACCAGACTCTCGATGTACAGATATTTTATTCAAGAATTGAGAATGTCAGTAAATTTGATTAGTCCTGCTTCAAAAAATGAGTGGTTAAAACCCTCCGCATCCTAACGTAATTAATTTGTTTATTTGGTTCAATACTGCAGATACCCATTCGTTCTGATAATCTGAAATAATTTTAACGCATTTCCTTAACTTGTTTTCTCCCTAGCATGAATAACATTTTATCAAGCTATTATTCTTGAAATCATCCTTCCTAGTTTGTTTTATCTAACATTCATGAACACCCAACTATTGCTTGATTTAACTGTCACCTTATAACATTCCGTACGCCGTATAATCGTTTACATAATCAGTTATTTTGAACTGAATTTCCGTAACAATTGATTCTACCATTAACATGCACAATAAACTTCTATGATTTGACCTTCTAAATTGTTGTATGATATTCTTGAAAAACTGATAGGCGAAATCTCAATATTGTTGATAACTACTTCCTCAATATTTACATAGAACTGAGAACCTGAAGAAGTTTTCGGGAAGAATACTCTTTGTTTCTTCAAATACCTTTCGAACAACGATGGGAATTTTAATGATCTGAAAAGATAAAATGACCAATATCTTTCCGATTAAATGTCTTTCAGAAACCGAGTGACATAATATTGGCAAATATGATCATTTTCTAAAGAAATGACATGATAAGTGAAGCGATTTTACTTCTCAATTATCTTGCTACATTATTTCTGCTTATGACTGGATTCATCATCATCCGTACAACTTGTCAATTTACAGTTAGCCAAATCAACCAGGCCATTTTAGTGACTATTTCATCAATTATATGGGCAGCTAAGACAGAAAACTCAACCCACTTGAAGAACCCGTCGAAAGAGTATCATTACAGACCAGACATATTAAGCAGTTAAGTGGGAAAGGATGTATTTCTAAATGCAAAAAACATTAGCAACCACCAGAACATCACAATCGAAAACTGGAGAATCTCTCTTTGATGAACACACGGGCCGTAACACATACAGTGCTCCTTAGCAGGAAAGTGCATTCGAGAAAGTGGGATGCTAAATACCGGAAAAAATGTCATGTAACATTTGGCATTTTTTTCATTTCACCTCTAAAAACCATGTCCCTTGTTTACATCTCATTACAAGCAAAACAACGATAGCATAAAATTTACTGAAAAGCGAATAAGATTATAACTTCAAAACACTTTCGGAAGTGGGTGGATCCAACAAACTTTTGACTTTCTGTCTGAATTATGAACTGTATGTATATAAGTGGAAAATCACGACATGTAAAGGTTTAAATGGTATGTGAGATGTCCCACATGTTTAGAATTAAATGACTGGTGGATAAAACTACGTATTCCTCTGCCTGGGAATATCGTGAGATAATTGTCTTAAGATTTCTGAGGAAAACTTAGTCATTCCGAACCAAAATTCTAGGTGTGTAGAGTACAGTACAACCCTCAAAGAGGAAACCACAAGCAATCTGGGAAGAGAAAATGGAATGGAAAGGCAATACTCCACAATGATTTAGTCCTTTGTCTCCACCAAAATAGACTTCATACTCAAACAAAGCTCAGTATAGGCACATAAAGCAACCGAAATAAGCAATGCTTACCTCCCCAAGGTAAAGGAACCCATACTTCTCAGCTAAGGCACGCGCAGCTTTTTCACCTCCTTTAATTTCCACGGCCCAATAAGGAGTATATAATGCCTTCTTCTCGTTTTCGGAGAAATCAAATAAATCACGTTTGCCGGTAAAATTCAGCTTGAAATCTGTTCTTTTGTTCTCAATGCAATAACAAAGCTTGAGAGTGATGAAAAGTATGAATAGAAGTGAACATATTGGATAATTTTTTGAAGAATGAAGAAGGTTCGATGGATATGATGGGAATATATATCTCATTGTATAATTTATGAATCATAATATTAACCACAAGCATATCTCTAGTTCATTCGTTCATTTATGAGATAAACAGTACAAAAAGAACAAGTAAACCCAAACCCCACCAATGACCTTCTCATTGATTGAAGCTGAATCTGCAGGACGCTAAGCAATTGGTGGATCTAAACAATGCGATAGAAAGCGTTTCTATTGTCTGCCATACCCCTTCTTATCTATTATTATAACGACCAACTGTTGATAAGTTTTCGTCTAGCCTGTAGATAGGTACGTTGCTACAGGGGGAGCGCAGAGCAGTTTGAGTTTGGTGGTGATCAAGAGAATCTGGAAAAGAAAAAAGGAAGAGAAGAAAGGTGGGCCGACGACCCAGAAAGTACACAGGACGTATTTACACTTAATAATAAAAGGTAAGTGACAAATAGGAGAGCTGGACAACGAAAAGGTGAGGCTGTCTAGAAATAGAAACTCTGAGGTGAATGTGTAAAATTCAGAATGCGCTACATTATATATATGGTTTTTAATATTTAAGTTCAATATGCCAAAACACTGACGAATAAAGTTAACGAGGCCTTAAAGGTGTGGTTTCTAGTATATTGTACGCAACATCCAACATTAGCAGTGCATTCCTAGAAAACTGATAGTGTCTAGTTCTTGGTTCTCGGTTTTTGCTTTCCGGTTCTCTCCTGCGATAGCGTAGCATTCTCTTTCACTTTCCTGCTTTAAGCTCCGATGAAATCGAATATCTTGTTAACGAGCTTGTGTAACACAATTTGATCTCTTCTTGCTCGCTTCTTGGTCTTGCGGAACGGTTCTGGGTCTTTGGCGTATTCCGATGAAGGATTTTGAGGGTTGGTATTTTATGTTGTAGATTGATTTAGTTTAAGACCTACGCGTTGCTGGGAAATGCTTGTGTGATTTATGACTTCCGTAAGCACATTCTCCTGAATATGAATAAGAAGGCGGTGGAAAAAGGTGTATGGGGCTTGCCTGGAAGGTCAAAGTAGGTGGTGTGGTTCTAGTTAGTAGAGAAGAGCTAGTTGATAATGCAGGTGTTCAAATGGTTCTCATGGTTGTTGACAGAGGATAAGAAGCTTCCGCTCAACTGGCTCCCGCGTCTAAAATCCGTGGATCACTACTTCTCGTTGTTCTTCACCTGTGTACAAGAGAGCAGAAAAATTGACGGTTAAAACGTGAAAATTCAACTAGTTCTGAGCGGATCCCATCCACACATCAAATAAGCATCCGGTTGGCTTTTAAAAAATTCAGACGTATCGACCACGGTTCACATCTACAGGAACAGTGCGAAAGGGTTTAATAACTCTTAGGGAATAGAAGTTGTACCCAATGTCTAACTTGACCATTCCAAGCTCAGAACGTATTCCAATAAGACAGACATAGAACCCAAGGAACCGCAGTTCACTGATTCTACAACACGAAGTTAGAAGTTTACTACATTTTAAGGCATGTTTCCTCATGAGTCCCCTAGGATCAGCGCTACAGCTAAAATTCAGTGAGTGACGGAGTGGGTGTTCAAGGGTGTTCAAGATGTTGTGAGCCATTATCGAGTCTCCTCTTAGCCTTCTATATTCCAGGAGATTCACATCAGGCGCAACCTGTCGTCCTTCGTGTGTTTTAGACTTAAGTCCTCCAAAAGATTTTGCCGAGAGCCTCTCGATGTGTTTTGAGTTTAATTTGTCTTTTTGTAGGGCAGAAGGAAGACAACGGTCCCGAACTCCAGGTTAGGTCGCATGAAGGTGCTGAAAATTCGACGGAAACATATGCAATAGAATTGTCGGGAAATTTTCCTAAGAGTTACTAACACCAGGTTTCTGCGAGATACATTTCTGTCGCAGTTGGCATAGGGTTATAAGTCTTGAGGGAATAAAATGCAGAACTCCTGCTCCATCAGCGGCACTTCATTTTCTATGCTTTTGAGGCTATGTACATGACAGGTGCCACGTTTTGTGGGTATCACCTTGCATTTTTCAGGACTGAATGAGAGCCCGTTATTGACTGGTCAGTTTTGAAGCTGAGTTAAACCTTCTCGTAGGGAAACTGTCTTCCTCATTTTTGATTTCTGTTCATAGTTTTACGTCATCATTAAAAAGAAGGATTGCAGAGGAAACCTGTTGGGGCAAGTCGTTGATATATGTTAGAAAAGCAGGGGGCCTGACACCGAACACTTTGGAGCTCCGCTAACACATTCTGTTTCTTCAGGCGTAGGGAAGCTCACTTGAACTCCGCATAAATGACCCCGTGGATGCGAAGGCAAACAGTCAATAAGCAGCGGTCTCATCCCAATTAATTCTCATTTATCGATGAGTATGTCATGAATAGAACTATCAAAAGCCTTAGAAAGGCCAGGCACATGATAACAATTTGACCTCGATGACTGACAGTTCTCGTCCATCTGTCTATTGCGGTAAGCAGATTAGAAATGCAAGAGTACCTCCTTTCTAAATCCGTGTTGCTAAGGCGCGAAGAAGTTGATTGTTACAAGGTGACCCCTCAGCGCATCATGGATTGACGATTCCATTGCTTCGGGAAGGTAAGGATAAAGGTGTCACCGGTCTGTATTTCTTAGGGCTGCTTCGTCAACCCCCCTCAACAATAAGCGTTGTGTGGCTCAACTTCCAAGGACTGGGTACTTTCCCTTGACTTAGAGAATTCTGAAGTAACTTATTCGATGGTTCGGGCAAAATTGATGCCCCTTACAGCAGTACCACCGCATGGATTTAATCTGGTCCTCGGCGGTGCCTTTCGGGAGCAGTTTGAGCTGTACGAGCTCACTGCTTAAGTCGACGGCCGAGGGTCCTACCCCGTTAGTGGGACATTCGTAAGCCCCCGAGTAGGTGGAAGATGACGAAAAGACTTGCAAATACTGGACGGCCAGGAGCTCTGCTGCTTCACTGTTTCTACTAGATGGTCTGTTGGTACTTGGTAGTCGAGAAACCCCCACCGTAGCCTGCTGGCATGAAGCAGCGCAGTGGAACAGGCTTCTCGAGCTAGAAACAAGCATGTTTTAAGTCTAACTTGATGCTGCTACTTGTCGGCTGTACCTCCTTTCGTATACGTAACTCTTGTCTGTTCGAATCGTCTGCAAGTGTATTCATTTCTAATCCTTTTGTGTTCGACCCAGCGGTGTCTCTCTAATCTGAGTAATTTTTGACTGTAATCCCTTGTTGTCTTAGGCAAACTGAAGCACTTCGCCGATGATATTTGAACAGGCCGGCTGGCTGAATGCACGATGCTGTCAAGCAGCAGCCTCCAACGCGTGTTCCTATCCTCCCATGCGTGGTTAATCCTTCCATTTGTCCGCTCTAGTGCCATTAGAAGAGCCGGAGTGTTAAGTTGCCTGAAGTTCCAACGACTAGCATCATACTATTGAACAGCTTTATGGTTTACCAGATGGTCTCCTCATGGCGTTCCGCTTCTTAAGTGTGGTCTTGGCGAGTTTAGAAAAAAGAGCCGACGTAGGGTACTACCCCACCCCTTGCACCCTTCCTGTCATTGAGAAACAACGAGATGTTAGCAAACCCCATATCCTGATTTTTTCAAGACAATAATAGCAGTTTTTATTCCCGAATACACAGGCATACACCATTTTTGCAGGAATGAATAAGGTTTTAGATAGATCACATGTATCTTCATGGAAGGTAGTCTCACTCCCCATCCATTGTCACCAGAAGATACAATTGCTGCACGTCCATATAATGGGACATCCCGGCAGAATAAGTACGCAGAAAATTCATAGGTTGTACAGGCGGGAGTATTATCCTCGCCTTAACAAATAAAACCAGGTTTGTATCTCGACACTACGCGTACTGCCTGGAGGAAAATAAAGCTCGAAGCTAACAATTCCGCCGTAACAGTTCGTACCTTTTGCTTGAGATGATGACGAAAGGTTTACGAGGGAATGTATACACAAGTCGTTTACTTATTGTACTTCATTGGTGATTACAGGACTGTATAATTCATGCATGTTAATACCATTCCACGACAAAGATTCATAATCTCGATGGATATTGCCGCTGAGAGCCACATATCTTCACTTTTCCAACTATGGCGTCCAGCAGCAATAAACTTGCCCGAATGCGCCCAGTGGACTTCCAGGACATCTTGTCCTCCGTTTTCACGAATCGTGACAGCCCTGCGATCGTTAAGCGTTGCGCTTGCCCGGTCACTTTTATGATGAGCAAATCCTAGATTCAGATAATTACAAACTTCTAGTCCAGTGATAACTTTTGTTTCTGCTGGTTATAGCCAGCTGTTGACAGCTCGCGAGAAACCCGCGTCTCAGAGACGCCCGCAAGAGGAGCATAGGTGTCCTTACTTAGATCCGACACCTTATCGGCTTTATCCGGTGAAACTTTTGCACTCCTATTGGTGAAATTTATGCTGTCTACCTGGAGTGCGATTACCGAACACATTTTCCTGCCCAGTTAGCTGGATCAAACCTCAAGCCCATGAGCTGCCGAATGTCTAAGTACTGCTCACTAGTGCGGAGAAATTCGTATGCTGTTGAGCCTAAACTCACTACGATCGCACATGCGTGTAACAAGGTTTGTGGGAGATTTTTGGGTTGACCTTCTTGTTTTCATGGCACGCACACTAAAATTACATGAGTTAATGATAACATAAAAACATGTAATGGTGTAATGTAAATATATGTGTTTATAGATGTATGTGCAAATATATTGTCGTGGAATCATATAGGTATTTCCGAGCTGTGACAACTACTATTGCTTTGCGGTAATCACTAGATGGTCATTTTGTATACCGATGGCTTGGAGTTAACCGCAGTGTTGAGTGTCATCAAGTGAAATTGTGGTTTATTGAATCATTCAACTGAATTTTAAGCAGTCAGTAACTAAAAACCTGTCCACGGTATTTACCAGTATTTGTCATTCAGGCAACATGATTTATGCCGTCGATACGGTTGTTACTCATAGCCTAGTACATGAACTATTATGTAGTTGCAAGGTTGCATTTCTAAGGAATAATGCAAGCACTCAAATCATTTTTGTTGCGGCAATAAGCCTTACTACAAATAGCTGTTGCACTTATAAAAGTGTGTTTACTCATAATTTCATTGTGTGCTTAAATTTCAAATTCAATTCC